TCCTTAGCGAAATTCATGTGGTGCTGCATCAGACTTTGGCTTCATGTTAACTGGTCTCCCTCCTCCTTTGAAGACCTGAGGCAATATACTAACTCCTTATCAGGGCAGTCCAAAAGGGTCTTCTTAGTGGGCTGGGCTGCGATAGGGTGGTCGCTGTGGACCACTAGGAACAAGTTCTCAATTGAACATATTTTTCGGGCTAACCCTGTCAGCTGCTTATTTAAAGCCAATGCTTTTTTGCAGTAGTGGAGATTATTGACTAAGGAAGGGGACCTCCAGGCTTTCGACGACATGCTATCCAAAATGAAATCTACGGCGTCTTCCCTTCTTCGGTGTACTTCGAGGACGGCTTCCTGACCTCCCTGTCGGTGTTTTCTGGTGTTTTGCTGGCCTGCGTGCCATGTTAGGCTGGTGGCCTTGTATTGATACTTATGTCCCTTGGCCGCTAAACTTGTTTGGTTATTTGGTTCTGGTGGTGTAACTCTGCCTGGTGGCTTTATTTATAAAGTCGGACTCCTGCCTTTTCTCTAAAAAAGTCCTTTGTACACGGAAAACAAAGTTTGGTTAATTACAGCCCCACGTTAGTATGATCTTCATTGAAATAAGGCATGCAAAATAAAACTCTCTAGTACTATTTTGCGGCAAAAAGTTCACAAACCACAAGTATTTTATCTGGTTACAGGATGCTGTATAGAAACTATGTATACTAACATGCATAGTAGTAATTGGAAATGGCAGACAATCATTACTTAAAAGGGTAACAAAAGCGAGGGTCACAGATTCAAAAAGTTGTCAATGAACTAAAGTATCTTTGTTAGGAAAAATAACACACACCTGTAATGAACAAATCTGCGTACATAATTCAAAATTTCCTAATTCATCAAGAATATCAATCATGGACAGACCAACTGATATACTCCTCACCACTCAGCTATATAAGACGTTATCAGACAAATACCATTGGTGATATTTCCCGAATCCACATAAATATCGGAAGGTATGCCTACTGTGTCGTCCCTCCAATGGTAGAGTTTGATTGTTACTGCAGAACTACAAGTTAACATCTCGTAGTAGGGGCAGATGTTGCACAGTTGTTCATACACAACAAAAGAATTGTTGAGGAAACATCAGTGCCATAAGTATGAAAACAGGGTATGCATAGTACTCTGTAGTAGCAATGATCGATCAACTGATGTATGTAGACTTACAATAGCTGGGCAGAGGATGACCGACTCGTTCGAAAAGGCCACATAGCGGGTTCTTACTATCCTTGGTGACATCGCAGGTGAGCTGCTGCTTCCAGTTGCCGAACCGTCCAGGATAAATCGTGTGGGAGTTCGCCGGCACCGCAAAACGCG